GTTTTTGCTCGGTAGTTATTTCATGTATATCGACAATTTCTGGAGGAAGTTTTGTCAAAGAAAGTAGCATTCCAAACTACGTCAAACGATGTCTAAAGGTTTATGCCGAGCAGTAGTAGTTAAACAAAATAAATTATGTCTTTAGTGGGCTGCTACATTTCCTGATGAGATCGGGAACATCTCTCAATCTACCAAGTTCATCTCGAGATGCATTTACATTGCTTTCTCCCACATACTCGCCAGTCGAGATTTGCTTCCGGCCAACGTTTTCAAGAAAAGAAATATTGATGGCAAGTTCTTTAGAAACTTTTTGTTCTATCACCTACTTGAATATGCAAAGTTTGAAGAAGTCCGCTTGCGAATATATTCTTGAGGCACGACGTCCTCCAAGCGGGTACCGCCTCATCGTGGCTGGAAGGTGCTCATGGGTGTCGGACTACGATGTACAGCAGTGGGATTTAGCCTCTCCTCCGGCAAGGTCTCGCAACGTGTGAAGTGGTCCGGAGTTTCTATGTGAAAGCCCGGCCAAGAGTAAACCAATACCAGGATCCATCAACGTCGCCGTGTGAAACTAATCGGATGGTGGCCGTTTTCCCTCTGATCCACGGAGGTGATGACCGGTGGCCAATCTCCCTCTGATCCACGGGGGTGATGACTTGGTGCAGACTGTGGCCATGTTCACCTCGGGATTCCAGGGAACCGCAGTGGCTAGGCCCTAGTGGAGCTCCGAGAAAGTGGAGATTATGGTGGTGCTCGGACGACCTTTGAAAACGGGCTATCCGAGCAAGTGTTCAAGTAGTAAACCATGGCGTAAATTTGTACACATTTCATGTAGCCCATATTGCCGTATCGAATATGCTCAGTGTTAGTGCATGTTACAATTGCCGAAGCATAAGAAAAGTTTAGTCCTCATACAAAGGTAAGTGGTGACAAGTGTGCATAAATTGTGCTACTTCTCTTAAAATTTCAATTTTACAAAATGAGAGTTTCTAGGGACGACTATTGCTTTGTTTTTTAAAAGGGAAATTGCAGGTAAACTCCGTGTCTATGTAATGAATTCGTCTGAACCTTTGGGAGCCCGTCTTGTGCAGAAATTCCAAGGCGTCACGGAGGCTATCGAGCAGCGTTATCTTCGTGAGCTAATGCTTGTTGTCAGTCCTACTGAAGAAGATTGGAAAGACGCCATAGAAATGTACACTTGGATTTTGCGTTATGATGTGGACGGTGAACCACAGGCAGAACTGCGGCAGTATGTTTTTAAAAACTGTGTCTTGTTGTTGAACAAATACACTAAATCACTGTTCAGACCCGACGGCACTGTGATGGCAGCGCTTAAATTCAGAGGCATGCAGCACTTGAAGAAACAGACAACAGAGCTTCTACTTTTGATAAGGACATTATGTCGAGACACACTGCCTCCATTGCCAGCTGGAGCGTCAGCTGTGATTCGTATTACTTACACTGAAAGTTGGTTCATTGTTTATTGAAACTGTACACGATGAATTAATATCCACTGTCTAACTAAATATAGTTGTTGTATATTTGTCCTCCAGTGATCCTCAAAATACAGGAACTCCAAAGGGATATCAAGCACCAGGCTTTTACCGTTCGCCAGAAGATCCTGTTCTACGACCGGATGCTCGATATGTGCAGCTTGCTACATTGGAAACCGAATACCACGGGTAAGCAACTGTATTCTCTTATTTCTTGTATCATATTGACGTTTTATATGTTCAAATGCAATCTTTAGAGCCTCTGTCATAGTGCGAAGTGTATTCATAGACGATGAATACGCTATAAAAATGAGGGTCAATAATGCACCGAGACTGTCTAATATGGATGACTCTCTGAATGAGTCACTCGATGAAGTATCGGGTGCAGGTGATGGAGTGCATCGATCTGTCAACAATGACACTATAGAACGCATCAGTGAAACAGCACTGCACCAGGTTACTTGTAAGATTTGTAACCGTTTTTATGGTGGATTTTCAAGTCAGTCGTTTGAGTGCTCGAGCCTTTGTGTAGGCGATCTATGGGTGGTTAATTGTGTATCTATGCGGCGCATCTGTGGGTAGCGAGTGCAGTACTTTAGGAACTTGCTTTATATAAATGCTGAATATCATCTGGATTAAGAAGACGGGCTCTATCATCTTAATTGGGATAACCTACACATTCCGCGTACTTTTAAAAATCCGTTCATATATGGATGTTTTCATAATCTGGAAGAGTACAGCATCTTACAAATAGCGTGACCATCCCTCGTCTGCAACAAAAGTGAAAGGTCTCAATTTCGTTGTCGTGAATGAGCCGTGCGTATAGAAGCTTTGAGTAGAATGGAGCGCACGCATAATAGTAACTTGATTTCTTCATTGAGAACTTAGTGTCGGAAAGGAACTGTTCTTCCGAATATGCAGAGTTAATGTGTACGTCAGCATAGGCTTTATGACGAACACGAAGCCCTTTTTGAACAAGTGACGACCCATGTTGAATGTTTACGTTTGAGAAGACGTGCCGATTGTTACTCTAATAATATAGCGAAAGCTACATTGCCTTTTCTGTGGGACAATTCTGCACAAAAACGCACAGCGTGAGGGTGTTGTCTTCAATGCCAATATTGGCTCATATAAACGTTTGATGATTTTCTCACCGCAAGGATACGGTTGGTATTTCGTAGGCACTTAAATACTAACATGCGTTCTAACTTGAGAAACAAGAAGTAACAATGAACAGTGGGAGACTGGTGAGAGTTATAATCACAATCTTAACCCTTTTATTTACTGCCTTTTTTTTAATGGCAGGGTATGTTGTGAAATATAACTCGTATGTAATGCTGAGATATTTGCAAAACTCCGGACCGCAGGTGTATGCGGTGAGGAACGAACACGCGCTGTTGTCCTTACGGGGGAGCAGCGCACTTCACCACCACACCATCCCGGGTCCTTCGTTTTGCCTGTCTCTCAGCTAGCTCTCAGCAAGGCAGTAAATAAAAGGGTTAAGATTGTGATTATAACTAAGCCTCAGCTTAACTGGGTTGAATGCCGATTTGGGCTCCCCAGATCAATCCCGTTGACGGATGATTGCTGTTGGCAAAAAGATCGATAGAACTAGCTGAGAGACAGGCAAGACGAAGGACCCGGATGGTGTGGTGGTGAAGTGCGCTGCTCCCCGGTAAGGACAACAGCCCGTGTTCGTTTCCTACCGCATACACCTGCGGTCCGGAATTTTGCAAATATCTCAGCATTACATACTGGTGAGAGTCTTCACAATTCTCGCTGGCAGTTATGAAGGTAGGATAACGTCTTGAGTTCTAAACAAAACGTTTAATTCACTCATAGAGGCAAGTTGGATCATCCTAACATGTATAAGATTCCGATCTCATTGACAACAACGTTCACGTACCATTGGACCACGCCAAGAACGGCGAATATTTGGTTTTAGTTGCCTTTCCCTAGGAATGGCAGCGTGATATGTCATTGGCGAAATAATGTACGGACAATTCCCAAAATTTTGCAGAAGACAGTGGAAAATCACTGGTGCAATACTATGTACGACAGGAAGGACGTGACCGACAACATCAGCTGTGGTTGGGGTCTATATTTCATAAATGTTTCATCCTAGTAATTCGATGCAAAATTAACACCTGTGGGAGAATGGTAGACATGCGAATAATTCTTCTTAAAGAGATTCGGGACGATGGATCCTATCGATATGGTGGCAGGACCTAAGGACAATGAGAGAGGAGGGTGTTGCTATGTTCTTTTTTTTCATCTACTTAAACAGGGTCTACGACTGTGACTTTAGTTGTCATAGAAGCCTTGGACAACAAATATCGCTTAAGCGTCATACAGTAACTTCCCAATAAGAACTGTGCAGTTTTAGAATGGCATTCCTGGCTTGGATAGTTCTGACGGAATGATTTGCATAATCAACAAATCTGTTTAGTTCCATCATGTGAGTGCATGGATTTAACAAATGTAAGAGTGAATGAGATCGCAGTAAGCTATACTATGTTCATGTGCGAGATTGTATCGCCCTTGTAACACTTGTGGACTAAGCGAAAGTTGATCAGGCAGGAGTTGACCAATTTGGAAAGCCGGTCTGTCTGAAATTGAGCATTTCTGTTAAGTATCATCAAAACTGTTCATGGAGAAATGATATGTCTCTAATGTTTCATCTAGTCTTAATGAAATATTTCCGCCTTTTCTAACTACTTGTATTCGCTTGTAAGATCAGTACGATGGGGTTTGCAAAAGTGTAGAGCAAAAAGAAGCGGATCTTCAAGAGGTCTGAGAATGTTGGGTGAATATCAGGAGCACCGCGCCTTAACATCTCAAGTTCACAATTATATTTATCTTTACATGTTCTTTGGCAAGCAGAACACTACACATGCTGTGTGGAAAGCCGAGAGGATGATTATGGAAATGTCCCTCAACAAGTGAAGGAGAGGATCAAGAGCTCAGAATCGTATCATAGAATGTATCCAATGAACATCTGGTAAACAAGCATACAAGAGCTTAGTTCTACGCGATGCTAAACCACGGTTTGGGGAATAACTGACATGGTATTCCAACTTCCTTAAGATGATTCTGAGAGAAAAATGTAGGGCTTTTCATTCTCTTTGAGTGGGGAAACTAGTCTGAAACATCGCCGCTGAAATATTTTGGCATATGAATCACGTGATTTTCTTCCTTTTTTATATCCCGTCATATTATCGGATTAAATTTTAAGAGTGAAACTGTCGAAATAGCTAGGGAGGAGGTTAGGACTGCTGATGAAACAAGAAGTCGTTCATCGCCACGAATTCCAGATTCAGATTCAAGCAAATTAACCAGATTGAGTAAGTGGCATACAGTTATGCTTCTTGCATAGTACTTCTCTGTTTACGTAAACGTATAAGTAGATTAAAACTGTCTGTGCATGACGCTTAAATGTTTGATTGGCTGTTTAATAATGATCATAAGGAAATGAGAGAGCACAGTTATTTGCTTCAGTCTTGTTATCGAAGTAATGAACACATTAATATTTAATAGGTGTGGCAGTAGATCGCGGTTCGGTTGCAGACTTGGACAGCTCCGATAATACTTCACCCGCTGAGGACTACCCGAAGCGTTCACGGCGTGGTCGACACGCTGTAACGAAAGTGGTACGAGATCACCCTATTCACGGGCGTTTTAGAAGTGCTGCCTCTGTACGTTATCCTTTTTCACAAAGTTATAGCCCACTGAGAGCTATTCCTTGTTTTAGGCTACCCCACAAGTGGTGAATGTCTCCACACCGCGTAGTATAAATCCAGTTATTGTGAGTGAAGAAGAATTCCTTGTGTAATGTTTTAAGAGTTATCTCTAGCGATGGATTCTACCTTTAAGGACTCACATGACACGCCGCCGGCCAAAAAAACCCCTGGTGCGACAAAATGTGCAGAGGTAAGCGTAGCTACTCCGTAGTCCGTAGTACATAGTTTTCAGATAGTCAATTAGGTTTTGTACCATAAATTGCCTTCGCTTAGGTCACTCCTAAGGAACCACCAGCTATGCGAAGGAACTGAGACATTAATAATGGTCACATACTTGAGTTAGACTTAGAAGGTTTGAACTAGTTTTTTAGTGTTGTAAATACCATATGTTTTTGTACTCTGAATTTTTAGACTAGAGCCATTGCCAAGGTTGGCTTTTTTCGTAATAATATTCGTGGATAAATTCATGTTTTTTCGGTGCTTTGATGTGAAGTTGTCCATTTGTTTGACCTACGCTGAAAAACTGGGGAATGATCTTTTGTTGAGGACGTATAAGTGTTATACACTCGAGCATATTAATTGGTTAAACTTTTCCTTAACCCAGCTGTAGGCTTCATAATCTACGGAATGGTTTATCGGTTTAGTCCATTACTATAGAAACTAAGGTATTAACATAAATGAATGTTTGGTGTTTTTAAAGAAGGTAGACGTAATCCTCTTAAATTCCGAGAAGGGAACTTAGAGTGGAACTTTTGGTGCTCTATAGATCGTCAGAAATTCAGAAAGGGTCAAGAAGTTATTCACAGCGTAGTTTCTTTCCATAATTTTTTTCAGATTTGCGTCATGATTAGCACTTCTGTATTCATTTTGTCAACTGCATCACTGCTGCTTAGCATATGTCTAATGTTACGTTTACTCCGCAATTTCAGAAGCGGAAGGCTAGTTATCGTTTTATTTTCATTCCTATTTTTATATTCTACTATATCTTACTTTGGTTTTATTTCGCTACTATTTTGATTTTATTGTGCGGCATCTTTGATGTTCTCTATGTGAAAGCGTATGGAAGGGTTTTCCCGTTGGCTAGGCCAGCCAACTGTTGGAGCTGTTATTTTGTATTACTATTATTTCGGCTACTTGTGAATATTATCCATGTAAATGTTGTGATAAATATCGTTTGCTGTGTAATTCGAATGTGAATCTGATTGTGAGAAATTGGTGAAATACAAATACGTCGTCTAAGCACCCTATTTAACGAGGAATATGTGATGGGATGATGAAGAGGTTCCAACCATAAGCCATCGATGGGAAATCATGTACAGAGAATATTCATGGTATAGATGATTTTTAGATACCAAGAAGATGAACCGAGAAGTAATAAGGACATTGATATTGTGCAAGTTTGCTGTTCACTTATTTTTCGTAACTTTCGTAACAAGTAACTACAACGTTATCATTGAACTGGGTTGCTATTTACAGCTATGGATCCCCATCGAGACATAAATTTTATTGTTGTTGGTGAAGCAAGGCTAATCTCCGCTCCTGAGAATCGCCAAGTAAAAGAGAGTTCTCCAGTGACATCACAGTGTCTTCTTTCTCTATTGGGATCTCAAAGCTGCAAGAATCAGCTATGCACTGGCGAACTGTTATTGCGTGAACGGATGCAAATGAATTGCATCTAACACAATATTGCTTCCTTACATGACCAGCAGACTGTGGGCTACTCGGCCGAGGAAAACAAGGTGTTTGTTGAACGACACTAAGACTGTCGAATACAGTTCTAATCTGTTGAAAGAGGTCATTATTCATGTCTATTCCTTTTCAACTTCAAAACAATATGAAGAGAGGTACAACTCTACGGCCATAAAAGTTCATAGGTAGTTTTTTCCAGCTGAAGGTTATGGTCTGAAAGCAATTTTCGCAATATAAACCACGATGTACGTCAAAAGTAACTGATTCCAATTTAATCGAGGATGTTGTGGACTATTATTTCACCACGGAATAGTCCAGTGATTAGCTGCTTGGAATGCGGTATTTCAAGTCAGTTGACGCTGACGACTGTTCCTCAACAGTTCGAAATAGAATGTTATACTTCGTATGAACTTGCCACGCAGAACGCTTTTGTTGTTGCCAGAAAGCAGCTTGGGAAAATGAACCGCCTATAACAATAATATAAAACAATAACGATATGCCAATACCGATAAATTTGGGAAATATTCAACATAGACAGCAATAGAGCGAAGCTACGGACAACACTGCGGGGGTCCACCAACCCACCACCACTTACCTACTCCTGTGTAGAATTAAACTAACTTTATCTCTCGTGGGCGGCCACAAAGTTCAGCTCATGCGAAAGTACGATGGACCTAACCATAGGGGATCCGTCTTCTTGATCGCAAAAGCCCACCAGCCAGTTAAGCCTGTGGGTTGTTCTTGCCGGCCAGCATGTGCAATGCCACGTTATTGTCTCTGCGGATCACCAACATGTTGACATCGACATCGTTCGGTAAGAAGCAGACATGAGCCATGTGCGAAACAGCAATCACCTTCGATATCGCACAACTCTGCAGGATAAAAGCGAATCGATACCATTAGATATCCTGAGGTCAGCGATTCATTGTGAAATGCGGGCGCACTACGAGAGCTTGCATTGACAAGGAATAGTTCGACCCCTTGACAGGATGAGTTCCATAACCCACTAAGCGAACATACTTTGATCTTTTTTTAAAAAAGCTTTAGTGCTTTAAACCTCTGTAATTTCAGAACTAAGCAACCCTAGAATTGGTCCTCTTAAAACATTTGTAACGTTTATGGGATTTTCAACACAATCATCTTAGCGTCTTGCACATGCATTACGTATACATACGCATATACATTCTGTATTACATGGACACTTGAGATGGGCCGTCTTCACTGGTTGTGCAGGCCTCATCCTAATCTCCAAATTTTCAGAACTTTGCTGGCTTAATCACTGTGGTTCCTTGGAGTCCCGACGCCAGCCACGTCAAAGCCTGCCCTAAGCCGTCACCACCACAGGTAGTCCCCGCCCTTGTGAATTTAAAAGAGATTTGCCACCACGCGACAAGTTTGATACCAAGACGGTGGCGGATCGTGCCTGGGCTTCCTGAAGGAAACGCCGGACTTCTTCTCAGTTTAGGACACCTTGTTGGGGGGCTGAATCGCCCCAGTGTACATCGCAGCCCGACACCAAGGAAGACCTCAAAACCACGATGAGGCGGTAAATCGTTGGGATGCTAGCTCGTATGCAGTGGTCATATCTCTACAATAATCGAAAAGTTTAAAATAACCAATGAACTGAGATATTTAAGTTGTAAAGGATGATGCAAACTAGTAACTTATCACAAGGCCGACGGTAACGGCGTTTACAAGTGTGCAGGTGGTGTTTCTAGGAAACCTGAATTCATGCTAGTTATTCATAACCAACTTTGACAGTTTTGTTTTAAAAGCCAACTTATTTCAAGAAAAAAGACAGGTGTATTCAATCTACAACAAAACAATACAATATTTTGGATACAACAATCCTGCTCAACAATGTTCTCATTCTAAAGCTACAACAAACGAAGCTGCTATTCAAATTCCAACTTGTAGGCTCAGCTTTGTAAAATAATATCATGGAAAAGCATGGTGATCAGCACCGACCACCGGTTCTGGTCAAAAACGAGTAAAATAACGTCCTCCAATTAACGTGCACCTACATCCACTGGTCGATTAGGCGCACTGAGCAGCGTACGATATGCTCACGATATTCATCCTAACTTCTTCTGCAGGATAGACTCTACGCCGTAAACAACAGATATTTCAACTGTAAACGTACTACCAATGCAGATCATTGCCAATGATAAATAGCCTTACCGTGCGTAAATTAAACTCCCATCCTTTGAAACCAAAGGTTTGTCTCTTCTTGTCTTTGAATTCTTCAATGAGGTAGTTCCTGTTAAAACAGTATTTTATTCACTTACGTTGAAAACATAACATGCAGCTTACATCAGGAGGTCGAGGCAGCTTTGGTTTCTTCCGAGCAATGAGTCATAACAACCAATGCGTTCCTCCGCCAAATCAATTACCTAAAAAGCAATGAACTCTTATCTGAGACGAACTTGTCCAACCAGTCCGTCTCAGATAACGTCGAGAGGTCCTTCCTCGTTAACTATAAAAAACAAAACGATAGAGAAGACTAAATACTGTAGAAATTCATAAAAATCCACAGAAATCATCAGCATTCGTAATGCATGTAGTCAAAACTAAGACCAATACGTGTTTATATTGCTGAGCTTAGAAGAGGTTGATGAAAATGCATTTCGACGGCTTTGCCTTAATCACAGCCGATGATCCAAGTCGACGGTCAACAGCTGCTCGCGTTCTCGCTGTGGCGTCTTCGTCGAGCATCTAGTCGGCTATTCCTCAGTAGAGCATCTCTCTCGAATGGGCCATGCTCACTGGGCAATGCTCTTTTATACAGGACGATGGATGTTGATAACAGTAATTGGCCGATGATAACAACATGTATCGTTATCACCGGACAATCACTGTTATAGTTGCTGATATTGTTATTCGTTTTCCGGAAAAAATAAGCTGTTATCACCGAGCGATCGTTACTATTAACAGCCAGCATCCTATGTAAAAGAGCATCGTTGGGTGAGTACGGCTCATTTGAGCGAAATGTTCCGCTGAGGAAGAATCGGCTCGATGCTCGACAAAAACCACCTCGAGAATACGAACAAATGTGGACCGTCGGTTCTGATGACGACGAAACCGTCGAAACGTTAGCCGAATAAACATCTTTATCAACCTCGTCTAAAGCTCAACAACATAAACACATGTTGATTATTTTACTACCGAGGCTAAATGACAATCGGTTTCAAAAAAGATCAGTAATACAATATTTCACAATGAAAATTGGAAAAGGCAGAGCAGATTGTAGTTCAAACTGTCGGTTCCTTGATCTTGTGCCAAATGCCTTAGCGAGATCACAAAAACCCAACATGGCAGATGAAGCACATCCTCTTGTGTGCTTACAAAACATCAACAGGCGAAGAAGAAAAAGACGCCAAGATGAAAAAAGAGAAGACAGACAAGCAAGTAATTTTAGCTTAACGTCGAACGCCTCAGTAAGTTCTTCCGATTGTGATAACCGTCTGTTCCATATACGTTGAGGTAGCTCCCCAGCCTCAGCAGACAGCCCTGTAAAAAAGGCTTCTACGTATTTATTTCTACTAATTTGTTGAGATTTCAACTTAAAGTGTAATGTCACAATCAGAGGACGTAGTCACACCGGTTTACCAACTACTGTTCACCACATTTCAGGAGCCGATTTCGAGCACTCTAATTGATAAATGATACATTTATGACAATGTTGAAACAATCTTTCAAGTTTTACTTACTATTTATTGCTTTTTCCCATGGCAGGAATTACAACCGCAGAGATACTGAGATATGAGCAAAAC